TCAGTTGTGTGAAAGTTTTGGAAAATCTGTTAAAAGATGCTTTGCAAAGTCTTTTAACAAAGTTTAGAATATTAGTGGATAATCAACGTGGTTTCACTAAGGGAAATTCTTGCCTTACAATTCTTTGACATTCTTTGAAAAGGTTACTGCTTAGATAGATGAGGGTATGGTGTATATGAATTTTCAAAAAGTACTGAAATATATGATTTTTTTATATGTGAAAGACTTGTAATATTAACTGAAAGTTAATTTTGTCAAAGTATATTTTGTCATAAATATACACACCATATTGAAAGTTAGAAGTATTAAATCTATAAAGACTTTAAATGAGTACAAAGAGGTCATGTCGTCGGTCAAATTGACCGAGCCCATGTTGAGAGAGATGAGTAAAAGTCTAGCTCAGACCATCCCCTACACCATGAACCAGACTATTCCCAGTAGTTATGCTAGCTGGATAGGCCTTGTGTTTGCTTTGGATGGAGTTATGGAATGATTCCTTCCTGCACCTGCTTATTCTAGTAAGTATTTCTTGCATATTGTATGGTTTGACTTATAGCACCTGCCACACTACACATCCATGCTCTGCCGACCTCCTGAAGTATACTAGTTTGTTAAGAAATCTATACATATTGCCATTTTCTGTGACACTTTACATACCTTTTGCTCTACTGCTTTTATTGAGCAAAGAGTATTTTCTGCACAAGATGGATGTAGTTTCTCTCTGAGTGATCTCCTCAATAGGTGACATGTTTCACAAGTTTTATCTTTCTGATGCTGTATTTTCAGATAGGAGCTCATCTTTTTAACTTCTTTATCTACACTGTTCTCTCCACCATTTTATCAATGTAGGCATCTACCTATCAGTTCTGTGGAGGGGTAAGTAACATTTCTAAAGTTAATATTTTCCTTACCTGAAAATATATTTCAGAAAGATAATTATCTCTCCATAGAACCTTCTTACCCACTTCTGGTATGTTTCTCTTGCTTCATCAATAATGAGCCTTTATTAAGGTATGAATACTCATGGAAGATGTATTGCCTTATGTTTGGTAGAGTTATGGTCTAATGCTAATTGCATTATAGACTGGTGCAGTACAGATTAATGTGTGTAGGAGGGGGATTTCATTTAAGTCTTGGTACATGCACAGAATGTTTGACAGTAATATGAGTTAATAGCTATCAGTTCTGTGGGAAGGTTAGTATCTATCATAAATATATTTTCAGGTATGAGAAATGTTAACTTCAGAAATGCTACTAACCTCTCTGTATCACAAAAAGCTATTACCTCATGCACACTGCCATGTAAATTCCTGCATTGAACAAAGTTCCCACCTATACCCATGTCAATGTGTACTGCACCAGCTTATGATGTAACAATAATTTGACTATAGCCTTCCACCAATAGGAAGGCAACACATTCTCCATGTGCAGTATTACCCATAAGCATTTGAACATAAGATCATTTTCTTTCTGTGGTACTACTTGTCTTCAAGTGTTTTTTCCATAAGATTTACTTGTAATTTTGTGCTTATTATTTCAACCTTCTCTTACCACTTGCAATGTAGTTTTTCTTTCCTTACTTTTCTTTATTATATTAAAAAACAGTACTAAACTTATCAGTTAGAACTTTCGTTCATATTATCGTCAATTTGAATTTCTTTTAATTGATTTTGTACGTTTAGGACACATATTCCACTGCATGTTCCTGTTGTTTAATCCATCATACAGGTTTCATTTAATGCTCTTTAAGGTCTTCATTAAGCCTATAAACCATTGCCATACCTGTCTCATTTCTTTTACGCACCATTATAAGTTGTAAACCACTCGGGGAATGTGCAGCTCCCGTTATGCTATTGAATTACATTACCCAAGAGCTGCTGGCATTCGTGCTACGTGAACAATTTTAATTATATTATTATTATTACTTATTTTACCTATTCTATTCTTAAATAACTTAAAATAATCTGTACTTTTAATTCTAGTTACTTTTATATTAATAAATAAAGAATAAATATGAAAAACAAGAAGTACTTACCCAATCTTCTTTTTTCTTGCCCCGATTGTCGATGAGAGTTAAGCCTGT